AAAAAAACCTGCAAACTATTTGGCATGGGGATTAAGGCGGTCTTAACTCCCTTAATTCACCCTTAAAGAAGCACCCCGAAAAAGGGACGAGTCGCAGACATCGAGGGGTTCTCCAGCCCATGCACAGAATTTGAAGAGTGAATAGCAATGTTTTTACCGAGGTGCGGCGATGGGCTGTGGAATGTCTTCTCCCAACTTTAAACGAGGACACCAATCAACCAGCGTAGGTTCGTGGTGCTCACGTAGACCTCGCATGCTTAGCAGCGGGTCAAATGTGTGAACTAGTGTTTGTCTCCCATGAAGAAGAAGGAGAAGAGGAGGAAGAAAAAGTGTTGCCAAAGGGACATATTTTACTTAACAAAAGCCTCATAATGGAAAGAGACGGCAGCAGCAGATAACTTCAGCTTTGAGTCTAGAAAACTCGGACTAGCTGAAGAGGGAGTACAAGCAAAGACAATCGGAATGAAAGTGACAGTGCAGCATCAATTATGAGGATACGAGAAGCGAAGAAGGCGTTAAACAGACCTGCCAACTCAAGTGGCCGCGGAAAGCTCGACAGAATAGGTAAAAGTGGCAAGCACAGGAGTCAAGGTTAAAAGTGTAAAAGGGACAAATGAAGAAAAGGTTGTGATTTAGCTCACTGTGCCCATTGACGAGGTGAAGAAATCGCGCTACTGCATAGATTCGGTCCTCATTATCATTGGCGAAAAGGATGAGGACTCCGATGAGGACTGGAATTTCGGATACACTGTGAAACCGGATGTCGTGTGCCCCAAGGTTTGGAAAGGGCGTTTTACAAAGATTTGAATTTTAGGTAACCGGAAGGACTAGTTGTGCTGCCCAACTGGGGGTTCGGAGAGGAGCTTGAAAACGATCGCAATTTAGGGTTCCATGGGTACTGGGTTGTCTTGCCCCACCTTGGATACGAGGTAGATGTTGAAGAGGTCTTTGAGTTTGGCGACCCTGAAGAGCCAGTCGTTGTGGTCGTTGGTGCAACCGAAGAGGATTTCGCCGAGACAATGAAATTAGGAGACTGTGTAGATTTTCGCTCTGTGTTCACTGCTTCACTCGAAGTGGTAACTGGTGCTGCGGTTCCTGTTGAGTTAAAATATCACTTGTAGTAACAGAGATCATTCTTGACGCACTACTTGTCGAAGAAGCTCCTCCTTTAGCCCCCTCATTGCATACTAATCGCTGACTGCCTGCAGTCCAACTTGTGATGGGAAGGAGGAAGGAAACGTGTGTTCCTCCCCTTCCAATATCTACTCAAATAATCCTCATCCACGCCAAATATGGCACCAGCCAAATCTAAATGACTGTGCATTGACCCTCATCTATTTGTTTTGGCCACTGAGGCGTGGAAAGAGTTGCAGGATGCCGAATTGTGCTAACCGTCACTAGACCTTGGGCATCTCTAACAAAGTGAATTGAAGCAAGGCCATCTCTCTTGTCAAAATGTCGTTGTGAGTACGTAAGAGCAAAGCCAACCTACCGACTGTCGGTGAGGACTCGCCATGCAAGATGAAGGTGGTCAACAGGACGAGACAGAGTTGAGACAACATCTTCATTCCAGACATCAAATGGATTCACACAATGTGCATTTATAATGTTGTTTGGAAATGCCATCAGCCTGTACAATGGCCTGTGCCTGACCCGACGAAACGATTCGTGCGTTCACTCACCGTAACGCTCTTTCATTGGGTCGCGCGGTCAGCTGTGGCAGCAACACCGGTGAAGCCGTAATACACCATGAAGAGACATCCTTCGTCAACGTTGTGACGATTTCCATTTTCGTGAGAGGCCACACGAAGTATCCTAAGAGTCTGTACTTTGATTTGCTTTTGCTCCTTGTTCGGCAGGTGGAGGTGTTAGATGCAAGTGGAGTCTGCTGTTAGTGGCTCTGCGCCCTGAGCCAGTGTCAAGTCGAAGCAATTTGTAGGTGGTTGGCAAAAATGTGATGACGGGGAGGCTTTGAGCCGGGCTGAGAGGCACGCTTTAGAAGTCCTGCCTGCCAAACATTTATTAATCGCCTTTCTGTCGTAGCTGCTGTTTTTACTCACTTGTTGCTATTCGTTCTACTGTTTCACCGCTAGGCTTCCAGTTGTTAGCCACCTAGCCATAGAAGATCACCGAGTTCGGCATCATCGGTGCACGATTGGCATCTCTAACCTCAAAACAACAATCGTCTCAGGCTCAAGCAACAGCTAAGATAGCTTGTATGCTATCCCATCACTCTTTCATGACCAGTCGAATC